TAATGTTTTATTCATAATGGTGCCTCAGGAGGCTAGAAAGTCAGCAGCGAGGCAAAAATCAAAGGACGCTTGCAGTTAGAGCAGTTAAGGGCACAGAAACGGGCATCTCTACAAAGTAGAACACATCGACATTCTAATGCACGCTCAGCCGTGCCTCGAAATATAGAAGAGTGCTCTAGTAATGTCGAGACGCAAAAAGCTGCGACACGATATTTATCCCGCCACAGCGGACGATGACTACCATTTCTCAGAGGAGCAGAGGTGACTTAAGGAGGGGAGAACCCTTACCCAGATGATTTTCCCAACCATCGACAACTAGCTTATTCAAAATAAAACGAATACTCAGGTATTACACTCCTTTTTTTACCGTTTCCGATATCTCTTTCTGGTTAAGTATTTCGTGCGGCAAGGGTTATTACAATGCTGGAAGTTATATAGAAGTAGAACTTGGGGGACGCGAGATTTTCTTAAATTGTGCAACTTTTGTGAAGGGGACTAGAATAACCACTTCAGGGCCATTTGTCCACGTCAGCTAGTTAGCTACAAATTCTTAATAAAGCAAGACTATGGAGTAGAACCCCGAATCAATGAATCCTGGGCATGCCGTATTACGGCTCATGCTAGCTAGTCAGGATCGACCGGCTACAGCCTGGAGCCCTCAAGGTCGCTTTAGAGTGATGCTTACTGCTTCGGTCTAATTACAGTGTGGCGTATAGACGTACCGCCTTGCCTTTGCAGCCGAACGCAGGCAGACGTACAATACTTCTATATTTTCATTGCGAAACCGGATGGATCAGTAGGGGTTCTCAGAAATTCAGATAGCCTGAGAGGTGCCTGTCCTGAAGATAACTTTATAGCGCTTTTCCTTAAATCATGTGAGGACGCAGTGGAGCTTCAAAAAGTTCTCAATAAATGCAAAACATTTGGTACACTTAGAATGCGGGACAAAGATTTCGCATATTCAATGGCAAATTACAACAGACATATTTCATATATGCCATACTAACTCACGACGAGAGATTTTGTATTGCAAAAAATCATCGCAAACAATTTTCCTGCAATCCTTCCAAGAATTATCTGACTGCATATAACTACCAAAAACGAGCTTGAAGGTATACATTTAACGTGGTGCTATCAGCATGCTGAAACATTTCTTGAGTATCCGAGTAAATTTTGTGGAACGACCTGAATTTCGCCCTGTGCAAAGCTACCAGGAGCGATATTGCGGCAGGAATAAGGTATCGCTAACCATTTCAAAGAATATTTTGGAGAGGCATGGCACCGAATGTAATCTTGAAATCGCACCACTTCACTCCAGATCTCTGCCAACAGCGCAATACAATCACGATTCCTCTGAATGAACAGTAGGAGCTCGCCCTGAAACGATAAAAGGGAGCGGTAGGACAAAAGCATGAACACCCCCTGAATAACCTTCCTATATAATTTCTTGTTAATGCATTACAACAGACATGCGAGTGAATACGATTTTTCACTCCCTATACATTTAAAAACGTCACATCTTCTCTCCCAAAAGCCCATATTACCACCATTCCTTTATTGAGGGTGACCCCGTACCGTAGCTCGGGAGGAAACATATCCGTTTTAAACCGGGAGCAATCCCGAAATTATGTGAATACGCCATGAGGTCCACTGATCAGTCAAACTCCTTGTAGCTGCCTTGTTCAGAAGCAGAAAACGTAAGTTATCATGCTTTAATTGAGTCGCTTTGGGGGCATACGCTCGTCAACAGTATTTACAAGTTTTTATAGAAATTGATCACTTCCTAGTAGCAAGTCGAACAGGGACTGTATTGACAAATAAAGTGATCACTCTATGGGAATCCCAATATGCTCACCACTATCACTACAATATTGCGATCCTTACCAATTTCGCTCGACTCAGTCTGGCCAATGGGGGAGCGCAGAGACCGCTCCTGCTGTTGTTGCCACGTATCGCTGAGGGCCCTCCACGCGCCTTCGACTGGACTCAGACAGGCAATAGCCCGACCCATCTGTGGCGACACGACGTACCCCGCGTTTGCCCGTTGCCGCTCCTCGGCAGCAGTAGCAGCGGAGGCACTGCTTCCCGAGGAGGTCTGGAAGTCTGCGCCGTAGGAATTCTCTTTGACGCTGCTGCAGGCGCTCTTGGAAGAAGCACAACCGTCGCCAGGGCCTGATCTGAGTCTTAGTTCCGTTCCACAGTCACCAGCGTTCTCATCGTCATCCTCGAATTCAGACGAATAAGTGGCCGACTCCACAGCCTCCTCAGAATCCACAGACTGAATACGGACGGCTGTGCTAGGGATGTTGGTTTTAGGTGAGGGCAAGGGTGGCAGGCCGGAGGGCATTTCAGTGTTTTGGTGGTGCATCCTAGGTAGGGGAGAGTGCAATAGTGCGGGAGACCGAACTTGCGGACTACAACAGACGATAGGGGTTGTTAAAAAGTTCACAGATGCACTCGACAGATCCGAATTACTGGATCGGATTTAGTCATAGGTGGGTCACCAAGCCAGACGTCTGGGAATTTACATATTCTAGAATGCATGCAATTCGCCAAGTCAGCCTCAGAAAACGGACAAGAAAGACCCTGTAGTATACTATCCAAAGGTGTTTCGAAGAAGTTGTCCGACAGGCAAAGGTGACAAGTGTTCATTCAACTATTGGTCACGTCAATCCTTTCAAAAGTTTAAAAGCACTCACTCACAAAACAGGAAGTCGACAGTATTCAAGGCACTGTGACCCCTTAAGCGTTGAATGGTAAGTGAAAGGGAAACATCCAAATAAAAACTCAACAAAATCTATTCAGCTGAAAAAATAGGACCACAACATCCAAAGTCAAACATCGTCTCCTTTATCCACTTTCATCAAACAAGCAAGTCATTGAAGTAGATGAGAGTATGGAAGTGATTTTCAGAACTCCCAA